TGTGCAAGGCTATGGAACACAGCATTAGGTTCACTTGGGACGCCCGGAAGCTTCAAGCGACAGTATGAACCTGCGTTATCGCTCGCTTTGTTACACGCTCACACGACTCCTGTGGGTCCAGGTTTGCTATTTCACCATGGCGATGTGGTAGAATCTGGTGAAGTGGAGCTATCATGCCTGAGATCAGGGATACATCCGATCCATGATTGGTAGGAGCGTACGCATATACCTGCTAAGCACCTTCTCTCTGAACTCTATTCCTATTGCATCCGCAGTGCCCGGTAGGAAGCTCGGAACAAAGTTTATATGCCGGTCAGTGGTATGTTTCTACTGTCCTCTCTCGATGCGTTCTCGCAAATCGACCATGCATCGTGTGGTAGCATCGCCTTAACAGGCATACCATAGCGGCTGTGTCGGATATTCGGATACGACGACAGACGGCGCAGGGCGCAGCTAGGAAAAAGGAGATTTTCGGCCCGATGGCAATCCGGCGCTCATATGGAATGGTGCAGACTATTTTCACCGTCTAGGTCACACGGCATGCATCACGTATGAGAGATAGGCGCAGAAGAAGCCGGGCGAGGCCCCGTCCAAAAGTTAACCATGCTCTCTGGATTACACATATATCCGCCATGCATGTGGTTAGAGCGGCTTCTGGTTTCATCCCCGCCTCTCCATTATGAGTTTCTACAATGCAACTGCGCTCGTTGTGGATGATACCGATCCCAGCATCGTATATTCGGGTGGTTGGCAGACCGATCCACCTGCTCTGGACCCCGTAAACTATTACAACAACACACTTCACATTGCAGAAAATGCGGGTCAATGGGCTACTTTTACATTCTCTGGTATGCACACTATTTCTATCCCAACCTCTATAAGGAATTCATCTGCATTCACTAGGTTCTGGTGTGGAAGTCTACGGGAGTCTTGTCGACAACCATACTCCGTATCCGCTTTCGGAATACGTTATTGATGGTGTTGAACGCGGCACATATCAACCACCTTCGGATCTTATTACCCCTACGCTCGCCAGCAACAATCTGTTCTTCCGATCCCCGCCATTGAATGAGGGCACCCATGTCCTGAACATCACCGTCGAGGTAGTCACTGATCCGGGTCTCTTTTACCTCGATTACATCGTCTGGACTCCCGTGTCAATGCCATCGTCTGTCCCCACGGCTTCTTATCTCTTTCCTACCTCTTCGGCGTCTCCCTCATCACCTCAATCGACATCACCGTCGTCTGTAACATCGGTTGCCGGATCCAGTTCGTCTTCTGCTTCCATCGTAGGAGCGTTACACACTTCTTCGGTGAGTATGCGAACCCGAGTGCTGTTCGAAAATTTGGTAATGACCACGCCTTACAGAAACCAGAAGTCGGATCTATCTTGGCAGGCGGCATAGTTGGGGGGCTCGCAGCACTGCTGATAATGGCGGTTGTGCTCCGTTGTTGGCACCGTAGAAAGAGGACCAGAGCTTCTGGTAAGGGATCTGTACCAAAACTTAGGTAATCGCTCACATTTGTGTCACAGACTCCAAATTGGACTTGATTGCATGGCCCAGCATGTTTAGTCCCGGTGACACTGGGCCGCAACTGCTTGGTGCTTCCGCCGACGTGCAGACGGCAACATCTCAGGCCACGGTCCAACCGTACACCATGACGGAGATGACTTCTCTTGGCCCTGAAAAGGCGTCGCTATCTCAGTCTCGACCATCCCACACGCGTACAGACACCGCACTGACCGGGACCAGTTACGCCTCGGGTTCGATACAGCACTCGGAGATGACGTTGGCCACACCCCTACAGCACGACGACTCTGGATTCCGATTACCTCCGCCGGTTGTAGAGTTGCCTCCGGCGTACACCGCTGACTAACCAGAGAAAGAAATCGCTGCCTGCTGCTTGGTTTACATGATGTTATAACAATGTTGTACACCTTGCATAAATACCGACGAATTATTATACGCACCTGTAATTTTGATATGAGTACTCTACTATTAAATAAGCACTATGCATGCCTAGCCATAGTTGACGACTGCAGGTTCGAGCGAAGCTGACCGTGCCGCTCTGTCCCATGCAGAGCTCTTTTCTTGCAATGGGTATTGGCTGTACAAACTTTGCCTCAAGGGCGTACATGCATGCAGGGTGCATCGATATTGGCCAAACTCAATGCTGTCACGTAAATCTGCGCACAGGTTGAGTCGATCGGAGTATAGCGAGGGCGCTATACCATCTGACCACACGAATACATGAAATAAGTTGCATAACCTCCTGATATATGTACGACGACGGAGCTCGGGTATGCTAACGGTACAGTACAATCTGTTCTGCCTTCTACGCGATGTGCATCCAGGATCCCAACTGCCCGACAGACACACCTCTACACCAACACATGCATCCCGCGAAATCAGCAGCCTATGCAATCCTCGTCCTTCCCAAGTACGGTACCAACCGTCCGTCCATAAGTTCACATACCAGATACATGCCCTATACGGGAGGAGCAGGCCGAGGCTAGTTATCCAGCATCGCCTCCGCGTTAGTCCTACCAATCGACCATCCAACCTGCACACAAGCGAGCCAGACATCAGCACCCACACGCCACCCTTTGTCAAAGAGGCGGGGTCCGCGCACACGCACCTTTACGAGCGTCTCGATCGGCTCTGCCGAGTTCGCGACCAAGTCTGCGTCGAACGCCACCGTCCCGCGCGGGAAGAGCGCGACGACAGTGCTCCCGCCGTACGCGAAGTAGCCGAGCTCGTCGCCGCGCCGGACTTGCGTGCCCGGCTGGCCGCCGGCCGTCCAGTGGATGGAGCCAACCTGCAGAGCGGAGAAGCAGCCATGGCGAAGTTTAGGGGAGGACAGGTATGGAGGAAGGAAGGGGACACACGAGCATCGCACCGATCGCGACGAACGCGACGCGCCGCCCGGACGCCGTGTGCGTGAGGTAGAGCACCGAGCGCCGGTTCGCAGTGAAGACGTCGAATCCGCTCTCGTTCACGGCCTGCGGGTTCACTGCGTGCAGGTTTCATCAGCGGTCGGGTTCGCTGGCGCTCCGCAGACGGAAGACGCACCCGTGTAGTACTCCCCATCGATATCCACCGTCCCGCCGATCGTCCCGTCGATCGGACTGTGGAACCGGTGGTAGTCCGCCGGGGCGAGCCTACGGAGTACGTCAGTGCAAGTACGCAACACCCCGGCCCAAAGCCCGCGCACCGGAAGATCGCGACGCTGCTGCCCTCAAACACCTTTGCCTCCTCGGAGTCCGGCGCGACATTGAGCAATGCGGGGATGGAAAAGTTGTTCCCCTTGATCCTGTGGTCCGCGAGCGGCGTGTTAGCGTGTGTCGAAGGAGCCGGCGCCCCGCCCGCGATTTGGGATGAGCACTTACCAGAACTGCTGCGCGAGGTCGACGGTGGGGTACACCGTCAGTCGGCAGTCCGCCGCGCTGCACACGCCGGCGGGGTCGTCTGCGTCCGTGACCGGGCGCGCGCCCTCCTTGAGCTTCCTGTTTCGTGCACGTTTGCAACGGCAAGGCACGCATCAGGCTTTTGTCAGCATCCCAGTAGATATATCTAGGAAGGGCGAGTACGCACCGGTAGAAAAATTCGTTGAATGTCGCGTACTTGTTGACGTCGGGCTCGGCGAGCTCCTCCGTGTCAATCGAGTAGGTCTGCACGAAGGAGGGGATGGATTTGGCCGAGTCGGGGGAGTCGTAGATTCGGCCTTCCTGCAGTGCCACATCGAGATCGATGAGGAGAAGAGGGAGACGGAGCAGGTGTAGTGAGCGAGGTGATTCAACGGACGGACATGCAACCAGGAGGAGAAAAGGACACGTCACGAGTAAATGGAGCGTGTTTCATATATGGAATCGTGACAAGAGAAGTGAAAAAACATGATCAACGAGATGAGCGAGGATGAATTGATGGCGATCGGCAGAAAGATCGAAGACGATTCGACGCGTGCGGAAACGCGACAAAGAAGTCAAAGAGTGGAGACTAGCAAATCAACGAGAGAATGAACGAGATGTCGAGACTCACGCGGATAGAGAGCTCCTTGAGGATAGACTCGACGGACTTTTCATGGAGCAGCTTCACCTGGTATCCTCCATAGAACAGCAAGTGCATCCCCAGCCTACGGGCTTCTCGTCTCAGTGGCAGGTGTACATCGCGCGCGACACTCACCTCGTTGCCGCTGGCATGCTCTCGAAAATGCGCTCCTCGCTGCCGCGAAGCGCGACATAGTTCCCGACGTGGTGCGCGGCGGCAAGCTTCTCGAGGCCGGGGATGAGCGCGGCGACGTGCGGGAGGTGCGGGAGGGTGTGCCAGGGCGCGTGGATGGACTTGCGGACGTCCGTCTGGGTGGAGGAGTGCTCGACGAGCGCGGAGAGCATCGACGCGAGGACGCCCGGCGAGCGCATGTGCTCGGGGAGGTGCTCGGGCCGGACGGGTTCGACGGGCTTCGCCGCGGCGGTCTGCGGGTCGAGGCTCGTCATCGTGGGCGGTGTGTATTCGTATGCCAGGGAGTGCAGGGCAGAGTGCGGTGGTCGCGCTGTCGACCGCGAGTTATATCGGGCGCAGGCCCCACACACGAGCCCTAACCCGAGCGCGGGGTTGTGCTATTCATAGCCGCGCCTGCGCAGGCCTGTGCCTTGGAGACTCCGTCCCACCACCGCCCGTCCAGAAGCAAATTGACCATCCCGTGGGGTAGAGGTGGAGTCACCGGGCTGCACCCCGATCCTCTGCGCGACGAGCATCCACGGACCCCTGCTGTCGGGACGTGTGGAGTGGATGCATGCTTCCGAGCATGGCTGACGAACTCACGGCGCAGCAAATATGACGATTTCCCTCTGCGTAGAACGGGAGACAGTAAACACGAACGGGACAGACTATCAGCAGTGAAGAAGGATGACGAACATTTAAATTGGATAGTCAATTAAACGCCTTGAAGGCGAAGGCAAAAAGGAAGTACACAATAAAAACAGAGGATACTCCCAAAACTGGACATGTCCGGGATCGAACCGGACCCCTCTCGCAACCACAGTCGATGCTAAGCGAGCGTGATAACCAACTACACCACATGCCCGTAGTAAGTAAAATCTCAACATGTATATATATACTAGTTTTGGATCATGCGCTACCTATTCCCGTTGGTCCTCCGACGTTGCCTCTTGGATCCAAGTGCACCAACTTGAACTCTTGTAACTCCTGAGCCCTTCACCATGTCTCCCCCCTCAGACTCCCCCGCCTCGCTCCTGCCCGTTGACCCCTCCCGAATCCTCACAGGTTTTACGACCTCCGCCGCTCTCCACCATCCCCACATCTCGCGCGTCCCACTCGACGACGCCGCGCTCGGCGTGCACAAGGTCTGGTCCGGCGCGCGGCACACCCTCGCCGTCCCTCCCTCGCCGTCCACCCCCGCCCCCTCGGGCGTCCCCAAAGTCGCCTGGCAGACGACCTTCCCCGCGGGCTCGCTCAACCCAGGGAACAAGTCCGCCCCACCGGGCGGCGCCTCGTTCTATCTCTCCGGCCCGCGCGCGTTCGCAGCCGCCCTCGACGCGGCGGGCACGCGCCCGGACGAGCCGCAGGAGGTGCTAATGACGTACGAGGTCATGTTCGAGGACGGATGGGAGTGGGCGCTCGGCGGAAAGCTGCCGGGAGTATGTGAGTGCGCCGCTTCTCCTGTTGCACGGCTTGGTTCGGGAGCAGCGGGGTCGAGAGTAGGCTTTGAAGGTCATTGGACCTCTTCAATTGTGATGAAGTGACACATCGCACACGACTCTGTGTTGCGGAAAGTGTTGGTGAGAGCCAGAGTAGCTGCTGGGATCTCAAGTATCCGCATACATCGAGGTTGTGCGACGCTGGAAGTCACGAGCTGCTGGCAGAGCGGCTGGTGGGAGCTAAACGGAGATCTGAAGATTCATTCGGGGATCAGCGTCGTGAACGCTGGCAGTCAGACGAGCGTCAGAGTGCTAGCTTCGTTCCTGATATCGATGACGAACCCTTTTGCTCGCTGACCGCGTCAGCGGCGACTTGCGCACTCAATGAGTCGTTGTCACCGCGATCCACGGCCCTTACAGCTCGCGCTTCTACCATACCCCAAACTGTCGCATATTGCGACCATGACCTCCTAACTAGATCCCACCGTCGCCTTGTTATGGTCCCAACAGGGCCGGGACAGGCAGAATGGCGGAAGGACTCGCTCAAGAAATCGGCCACGACGAGCTGTTCGAGCTCGCCTGTGCAACTGCCCAGTTGCATGAGCATGAGCTGCTATGTATGCGTCTGTTCTGTCTCGTGTTCCCTCCGCTGGGTCCTGCTCTAGCGACCTGTTCTCGTTGTATGCGTCTTCTGTTCTAGACGACTTCGTGGACGTGTCCACTTCCACGCTATTTTGTTATGTCGCCGCCTTAACGTTTCACTTGGATTCCATCCTCCCTTCTCTGCCGAGCCCGTACCTGTACCTTTCATGCACGATCGCTTACTACTCCCCTTACTCGTGATGCCCGTGAAACCGTTTTTTAATCGTATTATCTCCGTCATCTATTCGCACTCCGCATGCATCCCCATTAACACGTCCACAGACGGCGGCGCGGGCGACTCTGCATACGGCTGCACCGGCGGGCGGCAAGACGACCGCTGCCGCTGCTTCGACTTCCGGCTCATGTGGCGGTGCGCCTTGTTCCTCCCCTTTCCCATCCCTTTCCCCTATTATCATCACATCTCCTATTCCCTCTGTCCACCTATTATTATCACATCTCCTATTCCCTCCGCCCATTCCAATCCCTTGGTCCTCCTTGCCTATTAAATATATAATCGCTCATACGGAAAATTCCTACAGCGCGAAAGGCGTGGGCGAGCTCTACGCCTACGCCCCGCCCCTTCCGCCGAATCTCGCCGCCCTACTCGCGGTCCCCCCGCGCAGCATCCAGCACCCGGACTACGGGCTTTCTGCGGGTCGTGGCGCGTGGTGCTTCGAGCCAGGGCGGTGGTACGTCGTCGCGCAGCGCATCCGGGTCGGCGCCGTCGGGGCGGCGGATGGTGAGTGCGACCTCCTCCGAATTCTCGTTCTCGGGGCCTCTGGGTGAATGCCGAGCTCGACCGCCCGAGGTCCAGCTAGTACGAGTTTGGATGTCTCACTAACGCACTGTGCGAACAGGTGAGATTGAGGTGTACATCGACGGCCGCTCCGTCATCCACGCGGAGGGGCTTGTCCTACGCACTCCTGAGGGGCCCGACGCGCGCGTACGCGGATTGCACTTCTCGACGTTCTTCGGCGGTGAGTCTCCTCTTCCTTCCTCTCTCCGCTTCCCCCTTTCCCCCTGCACCCAGCTTCCTTGCTTCCGACCACTCTCATGGGGCCTGCGCAGGGCCGATGCGATGACATGACCAACACCTTTCTCCACGTGTGATGCCCATGATCTCGCCGTGATAGTAGAATCTGATCCTGGTCCCGCTCGAGAATTCTTCTTACGACCGCTTTGGGGGCCCTGGGCAGCGTGCTGACGGAGTTTGGTTTTGTGGGCAGGACACGCGCCGGAGTGGGCCTCCCCGCGCACGCAGCACGCGTGGTTTGCGAACTTCACGGGCGCGGTGCTCCGCCCTGGGCCTCCCGACGGCACGCGCGCGAAGGATGAGCTTTAGATTCTATATGGTTTATGATGGTGAGCGTTTTCCTTATTGTCGAGTCCGGATGCTGCCCGCTGTCCGCCGAGCTGCCGTGATGCGAGACCAAGCTATTCACATCATGATTGCACTATGATAACATCTATACTAGTCTCTGCTGAGCGTCTCATCGAGTTCTGCCGCCGTGCTCCCCCCTCCCCCTCGGTCGTGGTGCTCATGTATATCACTCATACAGGTCGGATGGCTCGTGTATGAACTGTAGGACTCTATGATGATATCGCGCCCATTGTGGCAGTAAACCTTCGGTACGTTTCAGCGACTCCTGGTTATTGGGACTATGGTTTGTTTTGTATGTGAACGGAACGGTTGTACAAGTAATTAGGTTGGTCAGCCTGGATTGTCTCGTCCATTCGCTGTTGCTCCACGCGCTGACTTTTGAGATAGGGCAAATACTATACCTCGGTATAACGGACGATCTGAATGCATCGTGGGCACTGTACCGGTGGATTATGTAGCGACAGAATCTCGCGTGTTCGACTCCGTGTGGTCTTGAAGAACGCCAATCCGCGAGGACTGTACGGCTACAACATAGTTGCAAATGGACAGCGACGTAATCCGCCACTCTCGCCGTCCGCAGGCGGTCAGTGTCTCGCATCTGGTCCCCACTTCGTTGGCCTGCCGTGTGTTGCAGTGTGATGCGATACAGCGCCCTTATCTACCATGATCATGCACGGTTAACTTCATGTAGCCCACTAGAACTCTGATCACCGGGTCCGATCTCTGTGACGCCGTATCTGTTTGCCAACTCGTTCAAGCACCCAGCCCATGCGTCTCTCTGGCATCCTACTCAAACTGCTCATCACTCGTAGAAATCACTCGTCCCTCTAGAGCGTACCACGCGCATGACATCTCGCATATGGGCCTGTGCTGAGCAAGATCAAGGTACATTCCACGGATATTACCTTCTTAATGCCTGATGTGGTTGTTCCTACTGCGTCGTACAGCTATGATGTAGATGGTAATAGGGTCAATCCGGATTCTGATTTGGAATGGGTCTCAGTGCTGACGAGGCTACAGGATATAGGTATGGTCATACAACAATCCAGTGAGATATTTGTGGGGTATCAGAGTGGGTATCGCGAGAGAAGACCACGCAAATAAAATTCAAGACCCACTAGGATGAAAAGAAGTCAAGTCCGTAAGCATACAAGGGTGTAATCCTATCACAGCAACAGTAACCTCCACAACCACCAATGATGGCAATACAGTCGCGACCCCCATGCCGACTCGTCGGCCTCTTCAATGGTGAGTTGACTGGAACAATGACCGCCCCCATGCCGCATGATGTCGACTGATCCATGCTTTGGCCATGCTACTTCGGCTGAACACCCGCACCAGCCTGCTCAGCAGTATAAGAGACATCGCTGACCGAGCATGGAGAAGCGCGCGGGACAAGACGGCGGTGATGGGAGGGATTGTACAGGTGCGATGCTGGGTGGCACGATATGGGATTCAGCTCCTGCACGCGAGCGCCACCCTGATTATTGCATACCCTGCACCCTCTCCTGCATTCTCGCTCTAGAACGCCTCCTCGCCGTCGCACACTACATCCATCTCTTCACCGTCTTCAGCCTCTTCTTTGTCCGTGAGGATGACATACCGCTTCTGGACAAGCCCCGGTGGGCCGTCCGCCGCCAATACGAGCTGCATGTCAAGCGGCGCAGGTACGTGCACGCGCATGCGAAGTGGACGCCACCCTCTACCTCCAGTGCCCGTCCCCTCACCGCGACTGGACTTGACAGGCCCACCCACAGGGATGTGGAGGCCTGTCGAGTGGCGCGGCAGGGCTGCAATGGTGGGCTCCCGCGACGGTGGTATAAATGCGGATGTGTGGGTAGGTAGGGCGAAGGATGGAGGGTGGGCCAGGAGGGGAGCGCAGCTGTTGGTCCCGTGGTGGCGTGTGTCGGGGACGGTGGTGGGCAGGCGGACTTCCGTGCTCGTCACTTCCCAGTCTTGCGTCATCCTGGCGGCCATATTGGCCCGCACGCGCGTCGACCAGATCACGAGGCGCGACCCGCGCGCGTCGGTGTCCGCGCCAATATCGGAGCTGCGCGATGAGCTCGTGTTCACGCTTGACCCAGATCGGGATCTAGAAGCGGATGTGGAGGTAGTGAGGATGGATGAGAGGGAGGAAATGGAGGTGTTCTTCTGGGCCTGGGAGCGGTGGCCGGGTGCGTAGGGGCCGGGTACGGGGCGTGAGTCTGCCTCTCGCCAAATCCACGATGGCCGTTCCCTGATATGTGCAGGTTCGGTGCCTTCAGGCCTCAACACACCACGCGACGCGCTATTCCAGTTCTGTGCCCAAATGGGGTCAAGAAACGCGTCCCGCACGTACGTTGCCTGCTGTGGTGTCCCGCGTGAGTATTCGTCCCTCATCCAAACCGATCGAAGCGAGGGTACTAACTGCGAAGACACGTTCAGACGCGATTGTAGCACGTCCGGGATTGCGTGTGTTGCTCAGTGTGCGCCATGGGCCGTCAGGAATTTGGAGGGTTGGGTGGCCTGTGCAATGCTGAGCGTTGGGCTGTGGCGCAGGCATTGGTCGGGAGGGTTGACAACGTGTGTGTCTTTCGGCTACGACGGCTGCGTAGCTCGGGCGCTGCGTCTTCGTGTTGGAGGTCTTTTTCTGCATATCTTGCGCGTTGTAAACGAGGTACGATGGTGCTAGGGACGGCGCCACAGCGATGGTACTAGGTGCGACGTGCTCGAACAGATCAAGGAACAAGGTTGAGCGCTGAGCGTTCGCGTGCGGGCGGGCGCGACAGGAGATCGGAGAGGTAACGGCGACGCGAGGCGTGCGGTGAAGGTGGTTCGGGTGGAAGAGGGAGGGACAAGAGCGGCGTGCATTATAGTGCGCCTGCGGGTGGCCCGGCGGGCGCCTGCAACGTCTTGGACTGCACAGAGTTTCTTTGTTCCGCTGCCCCCGTGTGGGCCACCTGTATCTAGCACGCCACCTGGCAATTGTACATCATGCATTCTCATCGATCATGCTTCACGCTATGCACATGGGAAGTACTGCCGTCCAGATGGAAGAGTGCTGTGGTAACCAATAGTAGCAGGCTATAATCCTCAGTTCATGATGTCCCTCTGCTTCGCATCCAGGGCATTTAATCAAAATACGTTAGATTAGCGCTTACATGGACGGGCATGTGGTGTAGTTGGTTATCACGCTCGCTTAGCATGAGTTGCATGTCTGCGAGAGGGGTCCGGTTCGATCCCGGACATGTCCATGAGCATCTCAAGTTCTAGATTTTTTTCTTCGTTTTCCATCCTGAACTGCACCCGTAAGAACGTGATCGCAGGGTTGCATGGTTTGAGATGTCATGCAATCTCCCGAAGCAAGACTTTCTGCACGCATAACCATATGGATGACTGCAAAATCGCCCTTCCGACTCAGTGTTGACTGTGAACGTTCATTAGCCTGGATAAGAAGCAAAGGGACTCACCAACGGGCCTCCATTTTTCCAACTCCTTTAATTGCGTGTAGCTTCATGTCAATTTCCTGACCTGGTCGCCGTGTTGCGAGGACAACCCCGTAGCAACTCTAATCAAACAGCGACAGCATGAACACCTTGTTCGTCGGTGCTGGTGGCTGCGTTGATGCGCTCATACATCACGCTCAGTCTGACACGAGCACACTGCAGTCTGTTGGCAGATGCGATAAATTATGATGCACCTAAGCGAGTGTACTTAGGCCCCGCCTGTATGTTCCCAGTAGTTAGCTATGCTCTTATGCTCGTGTAAATCGAGCGGCTGCATTACGACACGCCTTTCATTATGTCATTATGTTCATTGTCGAAACTCCCTACTCACACTCTCAATCACATATTGCCGATCACCAGGACCTCAGAGTGTCAATTAGACGACTTTGTATAAGCTATACTCAGAGCAAAGATCACGATGCAAGCTCCCTTAGGTTACAGTCATTTTCATATCGACAGGCTCATCCTGTCGAAAAATTTTACATAGTCGGAGTTCGGCGGAGTTGTGTGAAATCTAAGCCTAACCTGATCTGGTAGCAGCGCGCTGGCACGGCGACACGGCGGCATTCGATGTTGTCCTGTATCTCAACTTGGCTCAATTGCTGTAACAATGCGACACTATATTCCACCAGAACAGAAAGAGCTCGCACTTTCGATGTCCCAATGAGGGCTCGCTGATCGTCACATCACTCGCCTCACTGATATTCAATGTCGAATTATGCTCCGAATTTGTAGGACCTACCGTGAAGCAGGTCAAGTTGTCTGTTTCGCTGTGTGCTCAGAGTCCAGACCAACACTCGTGCCACAATTTCAGATGTTAGATATTACAGGTTGTGCCGCAGCAGCTCATGTGGAGGTCATACAACCTGAATCCTTGAGTATTACGACCTCTCCTAAGTTTTAACCTCCTTCGTATACGCCGTGCAATCCTACCCAGAGAGATCACTGATTCGGATCTCGGGCTCTCGGCGCAGAGGTGGAGATGAATATGTATGATCCGCCTATGTGTGTTTTTTCTGATAGGGTGGGCCTATCGATATGAAAACGACTGTACCCTTCCTTCAATTTACTTTACTGCCAGGAGTGGCAGTGTGTGATTGGTACCGAGTAGAAAATGATACATGGGATATAAAGTTACCATTAGTTCAGAGCCTCGTACAGGTACAATCTGTTTCGAGTACCTAACACAGTCGATGCAGTTATGTTCGTAAGCGTAGTATAAACAGAAATGTGAACAATTGTAATAACAGCATCGTCTAATTCATCTGCAGAGGCCATTTCTGAGGGAACTCGAGTTGTCCAGGATTAGTTCTATCCGAGACCTGTTTTAACACACCGATTGTAGATTCGATGCTAGGCCGCTGAAGCGGTTCATCCTGCCAACCACTCTGCATGATCGACCAGATGTCGTCATCAAGGCCAAGCGCCGTAGACTCTGAGGGACGCTGTGGCCGATTCCCGAAGATGATCTGTCTCGAAACAGCGTAGTGAGATACGTTATAGAACGGGGCATGCCCGGTAAAGACCTAGATGGATTCAGCATGATTAATAGATCCTGATCACGTACTTAGCACATACCTCCCACATGACCATAGAGAAGGAATATACGTCGCTCTTTGGAGAGCAATGAGCTTTCTCTAGGCCGTAATGCTCGGGGTCTAAGATTTCGGGTGCTGTGTATCGCAGCGACATAGCTGTCACAGAAGCAGTTGTGATGATAGGCAATCTGTTGTCATAGCTGAGTGCCACGAGTCCAAAATCAGACAGACATGCCCTCTCTTGCTTGTTGATGAGGACGTTGAACTGCGACACGGTCCCACCCGTAGTGATCAGCGTCTTATTGCACCTTATAAGGTGATGGGCAAAACTCACGCCTTTAAGATCGCCGTGCACAAGGCCCATGTCATGTAAATACTTCAGTCCCTCTGCTACATCCACGAGCTGAATGAACGGATAGATTAGTGCGCTAGTTCATGCGCCCAAACATACTTACGCACTAGCATAGTTCGGTTCGCACCAGGTCTTTCCTTTAGGAACGCAATAATTGTACCCCAAGGCATCCATTCACTCACGATGCAAACGGGAAATATGCTGGAATCGACGCCGTAGAAACGAGTGATATTGCGATGTCGGAGCGCTTTCCAGACTACGGCCTCTTTGCAGAAGGCCTAAATCATGGATGAGCTGCATGGCCACACACTCGTCAGCCTTGTACTATACCTTTACGACGTCAGACCTATTGACATGGCCATCGTTATATATCCGAAAGGCTTTGAGGGCAACCGGCTGCCCTTGGTATGTCCCTTGCCAGATATCCGCAAAGCCTCCCGAGGCAACTGCATGATCACTCAGCTTCTGTAGCTCCTGACTATCAAGCTTGCATGACTTCGGAACAATTCCATGCTTCCCACATAACTTCCTCAACAGATCTAAGCTTTGGCGACGAAGGGCGATGGGAGTCTCCACGCCATTCACGATCTGAGTGTTCGTCAATAAAATCATATCGAGGAACGTCTCGACTACCTTACTCACTTCGTCAATATACTCTATCATCGACGTCACTTCAGTCGCCCCAAGCTGCAGAATGCGACTGATATGATCCTCGGATGATGTGGCCAGACTATATGCGTCCAATGTTTCGTCATAGCTCGGTTGAAAGTGCGCAGGTTGAGGGAAATGAACTATTTCGAACTGAATGAATTCCATAGTAGTCATACGGCTGCACATAGAGACAGAATTGAAGAAAACGTACGTCACACATAACCTTCGGCCGGTCCAAATACATGCGAGTCAAATCTTCTTGAACGCGAGCGGCGGTGATCAGCACCGCGACGACGTCCAAGCTGACGTTTGACTCCATCCAGTCGCACACAAGTTCGTATCACCGATGCACGGAGTCAAGGTCATCTGGGAATCAGTGGTCGTCACCTCCTCGCCGGTCAAGACATTGCGAAATCGTACTGACTCAGACATGCTTCGTCTTTGCAATGATCTGCAAAAGAAACACAAAGCGAGGCGAGATACTCGAGTGAGCGCTGTTGTCTAAGCATTCAGCCCATATTCACAAGCTCGAAAGGAGGTGCCAGACCTTATAGACGAGTGAATGTCTCCAGTGTGCGTCAAGCTGAAGTGCACGTTGTGCAAGTGTAAGATGCGGCATATCTCGGTCATCCGCAGCTGCACTTGAGCCTTTTACCATTGGCGGACCAGAGTGACTCCGTGAGGCGATGACTACCTGCCGTTGATGCAGAGAAGACGGCGCGCAATCGCGAGCATCAGATAATGCCACCACGAGGTTCGAATTACCAAGTAGCTTTGTTGCGATACTTAATGCACGTGTAAGAGCAGTAGATCCGTTACGAGGACTGGTTCCGGAGGATGAGGATATAAGCGGGGGTGTGGGTGGGTTGACAGGCGGCATCAAGGTCTCGTTCGTCGCAGAAGAATGTCGTGCGCCGACGTAATGGTAGTCGGAATTGACTGCGTCTCCTGTTGCATCAGAGCTTGTGTCACCGACAACGACGTAGTCTTCCTCCACCTCGGGGAATGGCTTGGGGTCGACCGGTGGCTGCGGCGGTATACGCGGAAATTTAGAATTCTGCACCGCCCTGCTCTTGAAGAAATCATCAAAGCTGCACCGCTCCTGCGGTAGACGCTTCAACAGGCTGCGAATCAGCCCTTTGATGTCATTCGGTACGGGCTTGAGCTCTTCGCCGTTTGCAATAGAGCGCGCCCGTACTTGTGGATCTTCATCCGGAAATTTGATATTCTTGAAAGTTTCAATTTTCTTGAGCAGCTCAATATGGTTCTGTGCCCGGAAAGGCGCCTTGCCTACGGCCATTTCGTACAGGACGGCACCAACGGACCAGAGATCGACCTTCGCGTCATATTTCTGGTAGCGCAGGATCTCCGGCGCCATGTATAGCCTGATTCCACATTTCGTGGACATTGGCACAGGGGGATTTGAAAGCGAGGGGACTTACGGTGATCCACATAGCGTCTCTGCCATCATTGCATCTGGTAGCGAACGAGAAAAGCTGAAGTCGGCAAGTTTCAGGATCGGAATACCAAGCGGCTGTCCTCGAGAGATTTCGCTGGATGACGCCGGATGAAGGAGGATGTTCTGAGGGGTAATGAGTAATAGACGTCTGATATTGGGAGAACGGAGCTGACCTGTGGCGTGATGTCTCTATGAACGACGGCATGTTGGCGGAGAAACTTGATGGCACGTGCTGATTATATGCTACATCGATACGGCAATACGAAAAACCAAATGCTATACTAATGACTTACCGAGTTGTCTTAGAAAGTTACGCACTACGAGCTCGTCTAAGCCTCCCGCCTTGGGATGTTGGTAATATGTAGGTGCCGCGCCTAGTGAGGGTATATACTCTAGGCCCTCGACCCTCCCGCGTTTGAGAATATAATTCGCGAGAGTACCTCCAGCGCAGAATTCGAAAATGAGGTGGACGTGGCGTTCTGCATGCTAAGAAAGCCCGACAGGTGAATATTATGAGAAACCTAGAAGACTTGGTACGACGTACAAAAACTTCCAGTAGCTTTACAATATGCCTGTGTGATAGTAGTCTCAGAATTTCTATCTCTCTCTGCAAGCACTCCAACAGTGTCTTGCTGAGCTCCGTTGTGTTCGTAGTCTTGATAGCAACGTGTTCAAGCGTAGCCTTGGTCGAACTTGAGGTCAGCGTGGCCATTTTGAAGCAACCTTATTCCTCACCTCATGGAAGCCC